TTGGATGTTGGATTCTTACTTTGAAAAATCCAATAAATCCAATCCAATCCAATGTTCTTATCTTAATGGTATAATATGTAATTTTAATATGTATATGATATGTCATTAATGGGTAGAGACGTGCTTATTTTGCTGGTCATTTCAATTTACAAATGATATCAGCTTGTTTTTCGGTATGTACCTTTTTTTTCTAGTTTTTTGTTTTTAAATTTGAAAAATAAATTGTATTGTATGACTTAAGTTTACTATATTGTTTGTTATCTTTGATGATTTTGATTTTGTATTGGATGACAAATCGATGATGAGGACTAAATTGTTTTGAAAATATATCATTTATACTTTGAGCAAGTTGTATAAAATTCAGTAGCTTTTAATAAGTTTTGACGAAAGTCTAGACTAATCTTATCATCCAATTCAAATTTAATGGATATCGGATCGGATTAAATGATAATAATGTATCTATCATCCAATTCAAATTTAATGAATATTGGATCGGATTAGATGATAATAATGTATTGGATTGAATTGGATGGATTTCAAAAAGTTTATTGGATTGAATTAGATTATGAATGGTAAAAAAATATTGGTTTCCACTTTCCATCCAATGCCCCATTATATCATTGTATTGCGCTTGTTAGTGTTATTTAGCCTTGCCTGTACTCAGAACACGACCCTGGTTTTGTTCTTTTTCTTCTTTTTTTTTTTTTAAGCAGTATTGCAGATGTTAGCTCTCCATTAGTATGTGTTGGGAGCAGTTTATAGTTGGTTTCCTCTTTGGGGTAGAAAAAAAAAAGTTCTATAGTTAAAGCCATTTTGATTTTTAATTGTATTGATAAAAAGAGAAATGTTAGCGTCATTTAAAGTGTCACTCTCTGCATTCATTATTTGATACATAAATTCTATTATCTCATTTTCTATTTGAATAATAATATATCATGTTAATAGAATTAACATGTCAAAAAATGGATGCAAAGAGTGATAAAGAAAGAGACAGAAAGAGTGATTTGTTAACATTTACTTGATAAAAAAAATGAAGGATAAAAACAAAACTGTGTACCAATCAATACGAAACTTACTGATTGGTTCCGAACATTTTTGCAGAAAAAGATAAATCTGTCCCAGTTATACGAGTCACGATCTCAATATTACTATTGTTGCGCGGAGATTTTTGACAATCAGCACATCAGTACATAGCTAAAATAATCAGAGTAAAACCTTGGTTTGAGTAAGTAATCAGTTAATTTCAAGGCAATATCGAATATTGTTCAAGTGGTTTTGAAGATATACATGACTCTGTCAGGTTAAAAACCAAACTATGTTTGCTTAATCACTCGGCCAACCAAACATTTAGCTCGAACACAACGCCAAAAATACAAAAATAGTATGCAATACGAACAAATTGTACTTTTTAAAGAAATGATGAGTACATATATATATGAGATTTCTACTGTAGAATATGAAAAAATACATTTAGTCTTTTATATATTTTTTAACTGTCATATGTCTATTATTAATAACCATTTGTTAATGTATATTCTTTACTTTAATTTCAAATTTGACGATCAGAAATGTATACTACTGACAACCTATCTTAAAAAGATCAGCATATAATACCAAAAATAATAATAATAATAAAGGGTTTACCTACAAGTCTAAAGACAAGGTTATTAGTATTAATTATCTTTTCCTACACCTTTTACTAATATATATATATATATATATCACTATGGATGGAAATGTATCAGATTAGAAAAACTCTAGATGTCCAAATGTGACTTTTTTTCTACCGAATTATAAAATGTGAAACTCTAAGAAAAAATGACTGTTGAAAAGCATTCAAGATCACTTTATCAAACAAGTTTCATGATCTGCCTTCTATAGAATGCTGCCAAAAATCTCAAAAAAAAAAAAAAAATGCTTCATTTTCTTTAAAAACATCGAGGAGTATTTCAAAATTCTGCGGCAATCTCGTCCTTTTTGCAACTAATCTGAGTTTCAAATTCAAAAGACCTTATCACCTGCCAATTAAGTAAATGACTGTTTTTTCAGGTGACTTTAATGTTTGCAGCAATTACTAAGGCGAATAGTCGAAAATTTTCAATAGATCTTATCTGAAAATTAAAACTCAAGATTAATATCTAGCCTGAATCTTGCCAAACTAAATAATACAATTTAATCCTAAGGACAAATCCAAATAACTCCTACATTATCTCTAAAGAATAAATTAAACCAAAATTTAAACCTTGGTTTCGGACAATATATAAATGCGAACAGAAACTTGTAGAAATGAAATTCCTAACATACTTTATCCAAGAATTTCTTCCTTTTTTCCCTTAAAAAGATCACTTCGAAGTACTGTGTTTTTTCCCCCCGTAATATTATTAAAAATAGTACAACGACATTTTAAAAAATGTAACCCAGCTCGTACTCTAAAGCCCTTTTTTGAGAGAGAAATTTTCTTAGTTACCCTTTTCTCCTTTTTATTTAAATGGTCTAGAATTAGAGAAAAAGACAAAGAAAAAATAATATATTTTGTATTTGATTCGGCCTAATTTTAGACAAATTACATAAGTAGAGGAAAAAGTTATAAATCACATGCATCATGTCTAAAAAATCAGCTTTATGGCACTAAAATGATATTTTTGTAAAACATAAAACATATAGTACCAAAACTATCATTTTTCTTTTTCAAATAACATAACGTACCAAAGTGCAATTTAATGGCAATTCGTAATGTGACCAATAGTAGGGACAGAATTGTCCTTGTATGAAATAATAGAGTTGCCCTAATGCATGTGATGGAGTGAGAATAGTAATTGTTGTTCTTTTATTTTATTTTATTTTGTTATTTTATTGGAGCAAATGACGTGGCCTTCCGACCATCTCACAGTCAAAGTAGCGAGCCGTTCGGCGACCGTAGCGCGGTCGTCACCATTAGCCCATGCAATTCCAATTTACAAGGCTGTTTATTTATTCATTTGTTTATTTTCTTTCATTTTCTTTCCCTTTTAATTTTTCTAACCTTATATAATAATAAACCAATTTAATTTCCTTTTGTTATACGTCTTTGCTTTTTCTTCACGCATTTTATCACCATCCCCGTTATGTCACTATTTTAAAAATATTTATTTCATGACAATACCTACCTTACGCAATGCAAATATCGAAAATATTTTAAAATCAATTAGAGAGAGAGAGAAAGATATGAAAATTAGTTTAGACACATATTAAACTCACTCTTTTGCATTCACAAGCAAACATACCCCACTCTAGCTAGCTACTTTCCAATGCTATACATAGTACCCACTTGCATGTCCTAGTCTTCTTAACCTTCCCTATAACATCTCTCACTCATTTATTGAGTTATTCCTAAAAATGATCCTGAATTTTGTTGTCAATTGTAATTCTTAACTTAAAAAAAAAAAAAAAAAAAAAAAAAAAAAATTTTAAAATAACCTCGATCTATCAGTTTTGTTTTAGTTTTAGTCCTTTTTTTTTATTATTTTAGTGTTAAAAACAGAACATTATGAATGATACTTAGGCCTCGTTCACTTCGCATATTCGAGTTTTCAATTCGAGTTTAGATGTGACATTTTCTGAGAGCTTTTCACTGTAGCAGAAAAAGTTAGATATGACATTTTATGAGAGCTTTTTACTGTAGAAACTTAAAACTGAAAACTTGAATCGGTGAAATGAACGAGGCTTAGTTATCATATTGTTATATTTTACATTTTTGCGTCATAATCATGTGCATGTTTTGTGTTCTATCAGCAGAATGTTATTTTCTATCAGCATCATGCGCATCTTCCATTCTCTTTTTGACGCCTAACTGATGAAAATAATTAAAATTAAAATGAAATGATAGATTAATGTTAAGTTTGAGACGTTTTAAGGACCAAAATAAGATTGAAGATAAAATTTGGGGACTATCTATAAGGTTAATCCTATTGTGTTGTTTTTGTATGCATAATTTTTGCCCACCTTGATTTTTTTTTTTTTTGTTCTTTTACCGAACTCGTAATTTTATTTTAGTAGTATGCTAAAGCTAGCTACTTTTATTTTATGACCATTTGTGAAAGTGTCTTCAATTACTCCGAAATCAAATTGAGGGTCTTTCTTATACGTACGGATTAAATTAAATGTCTCACAAAACTTGGTGGAAAAAAAAAAAACTAAAGTAATAGTGAACGTTTTAGATTTGTGTCTTTTATAATTACTGCGTTAAAATGATATGATATACAAATTTTCGGAGATTTTATTTAGAGTACGAAAAAGATATCTTGTTAGGACACACTTTTTAGCTGCCAGATCTTCATCGAATTCAGTTAAATTATCAAACTTTATTTAATCTGACGTGATATTCTTCTAACGGTATTTGAATTTAATCCACCAATTAAAAATTGTGTCCTATTATTATAGAGAATTGTTCAAAATTTTGATATACAACATAAATACAGTAAACGTTTCCCGTAATAAAACACCAATTTTTATGTCTGCATTGTAGGAATCTTTTGGTTGTAAACTAAGGGGGCTAAGGGTTGAAAAATTGGGTGAGTGGTGAAGTTTGGCAATTGATCATGCAGGGAAAGCCATGTAGCCCCATTTAATGGCTTTGAAAGAAAAGGAGAGCATGAATTTAGAGCCTTTTTCAGACACCTAACTGATCCCTCCCGACATTTGTGCTCTCTCTGTCTCTCTCTTCTCCCACTTTATGCAGGAAAGAGGGAAAAAAAAAATCTCAACATATCTGTTTTTTTCTTTTTTCAATTTGATTTGACACATAAATTTATAACAATATTTGAATAAAAGTTTGCTCTTTAATTATGCACATCATATAATATGTGTAGTTTAACCATAGACCAGCTATATATATACTCATATACATCACGAACACATGACATATAGTTTCACCCTCTCTCTCTCTCTCTCTCTCTCTCTCTCTCTCTCTCTCTCTCTCTCTCTCTCTCTCTCTCTCTCTCTCTCTCTCTCTCTCTCTCTCTCTCTCTCTCGTCTAAACCCCACCAAATACCAAACTCGTTTCTGTTTCATCACTGGCGAAAGAGAGAGTTTCTAATTTCTTTCTTAGCCTTTATATATATCTTTGTATCTCCTACATATTAAAATTAGTCAAGACTTAAAGTTACACACACACACACACACACATATATATATATATACATATAGCTAGAGATCACACACAAGGAGAGGAAGAAACAAGGGAAAAAAAATGAACGGTTTTGATCATCCCCAAAGGCAAGATCAATACTCCTTGAAGAGGATGAGATGGCAAGATATCAAGAGGACGCAACACATAAATATTGTTAGTGGTGGTGCAACTCCACCGTCCTCCGGTGGACTGTCCTTCACGGGAAGTAACCCTAACAGTACCACCAATCTCCAAGGCTTTCCGGTGGGGCTGCTTGATAGCCGCCACGACGATCTGGTCTCCGCAGTGGTGCCAGCGGTGACGGTGGTTCTGGAAGGCCGTTCCATCTGCCAGCGTATTAGCCTCCACAAGCATGCAAGTTATGAAAGCCTTGCCAAGGCCCTCCGGCAAATGTTCGCCCAGGAAGGCGACGGGGGCGGCGGCAGCGGCGGAGGAGGAGAAGGAGGCGGTGAAGATAATAACGATAACGATCTTGATCTGTCGAATGCTGTTCCTGGTCATCTCATTGCTTATGAAGATATGGAGAATGATCTTCTTCTTGCTGGTGATCTTAATTGGAAGTAAGTTTTTGTGTAATTGCTCTTTTCCCCTTGTATATTTTTATATTTTCCTATATTTTTAGTTAAGCATTCTTAGGGTTTATTATATATATTTTTAGTAATTTATGAATAAAAAAATGCATAAAAGAAAGAAACTCAGAATCCAGTCACGAAGGATAACAAATTGTTATCGAATTATTTTTGAGTCAATAGGATAACGTATTAAAACAAACTTGAAATTCTTTGCTTAGATCTGCTTCCTTTTATCAAAATTAAATGCATGACATATATACTTAATTCAGCACGACTTTCTTTTGTTGATTACTTCATCATTTGTGGTTATGTTGTCATATAATGTTTATAGTATACACACATAATATATATATATATGTATATATATGCAACATTTTAGGTCGTCATCTGACTTAGTGCTGCTGTTGTTTGACCTTTCTAGATCTCTCTCTCTCTCTCTCTCTCTCTCTCTCTCTCTCTCTCTATATATATATATAATATAATTTCTGTGCGTGCATGCGTGTGACAGGGATTTTGTACGCGTAGCAAAGAGAATCCGGATATTGCCAGCAAAGTCAAATGGAAGGAAGGGGAGAGAAAGGGTGTAGGATATGCATGCTGTTATATTTGGCATTTTGTGGATAATTTTGGCAATCAAAGTCAAGGGAGTTATATAATATATAATATGTGCATACAAACAATATGACATCTCCATTATTATAAGTTTGGCGGGAATTGATCACTAGAATGGAATATTGTACTCAAATTAAGCTAGTAATTCTAATTGGAAGCATTGTGCTACTTTTCCGTGGAACCCTAAAATTTGAAACTCTACTTTTCTTCGTTTCTAGTTTGAAATAATATTAATAATAATAAAAAATCCTTGATCCAGCTCATCCTTGTTTCTATATAGTATTCTAGTCTCTTATTAAGAGATTTTCTCCTTTTTATGATTTTGTAGTCATGGAGAGAGAGAGAGAGAGAGAGAGAGAGAGAGAGAGAGAGAGAGAGAGAGAGAGAGAGCCCCATGTTATTAAGAGCCTCATTTGGCTTATCTTTTATGTCTTCTGGATTTTAACCTTATTTCTCAAAAATTAAATCTATGACGTGAAGAGAACCTAGAATATCTACATTTGTGTAGATAGGGAGCCGATTTCTAAATACGTGTTATGTATGCATGTGTGGTTTTCTTTTTTTCTTTTTTTTTTTTTTTTTTTAAGAATAACCGATATTAAAAATGAGCGCCTATATGTACCATGTCTTTTACCATTTTTGTTGCAGTGAGTATGTGTATATTTATGTGTGTGCAGGTATATAACCGAGTATAGACTGCCGCAGATATTGGCCACCCCCATCTAATTTTTTCTTCAAAATTTTATATGTGAAATCTATGAAATTTGTAGTTCGTTCCTCTAAGATTCTAAAATTCTATTTATCCCACTTCACAATATCATTTGATTCATATAAGTTTATCTGATGAAATATTTAGCATATATAATTAACAAACGAATATTTCCTTTTCTTTCTCTTTTGGACCGAGCTTCCTATATCCCAAGCTGTTTTAGACATGACCGCCGATAGATGGCTTTAAGGCCCTCTATCCCAAAAATTAAAACATAAACAATATTTTTTACATAGATAATAGTTGGAAAAAACCAACAAACAGATCAGATATTAAACAAATGTGTGAGTAACTGCTATAGTATGTGCATTTACTAGTTATATTAATTTTGTTTAGCAACATACAGTCTGTATGAAATAATATCATTATATTATGCCTAGTCAAAAGATAATTAAACTAGTACTCACACTTGCACCAAATTGAATTTTCGAAGACTGTAGAAATTAATATTGCCATTTTTTTAATGTAATCTAGGCCTCGTTCATTTCACCGATTCGAGTTTTCAGTTTTAAGTTTCTACAGTAAAAAGCTCTCAGAAAATGTCACATCTAATTTTTTCTGCTACAGTGAAAAGCTCTCAGAAAATGTCACATCTCAACTTGAATTGAAAACTCGAATCCGCGAAGTGAACGAGGCCTTAATATTTGACATTTTTCTCCTTCTTGCATTAAAACAAGGGTTTCTTTGCCTACAATTGAATGTTAATAATGTACTTCATTTATGTACAATTATATATCTATTGTAAGTACTAAAAAGTCTAAAGATATTGAAAAAGAGGGTATACTTTCAATATCAAATTAAGAAATTACCCAATTAACTCGTTTAAACATGTTTTCAGTTGGTTAAAGCAAAATAAACGGTGGAAAATCTCATTGTCTATTAAGAAAAATACATTACCAAAAAAGAAAATAATAAAAAGCCAGTCCCGCCGCTCCACAAAAGCTTGAGATCAGAATTAAAGAACTGAATCACACACACACACACACACACATATATGTTAATAACTCCCTCTAATTAGGAATTTAGGATCTAATAAACATACACAATCATGTACGTGTGCACGCGCTCACGCGTGTGTAAAACTAGATGTATTATTGATCCTAATTAAGTTAGATGGATAATTGATCCTAATTAAGTTATGTATAATTACGTGATTGTTATTATTATAAAGTTTCAATTCTACTAATTTCTCACATACGGGCTCCTCCTTGTTCCACCATTTTAATTTTGGATGGGAAGGCTATAGTTAATGTACCAAAAACAATGCATATATTTGAGATTAATATTTCACTCTATGATTTTAGTTTTAAAAAAAAATGATCAGTTTTAGCTCTTAGCCTTGCCTACATTTTGAAGGAAGTTTTTCACTTTCTTTAATGTTAATTATTCACTGTCAATCTGAGGAAAATAATCTTCAATTGCACCAACTGGCCATATCAAGTAGGAACAAAAAGAAGGGCAAAAAAATACATACTGTTTGGTTATGGTCCCTTAATGAAATAAATACTATTTTTCACTTAAGAAGTATGGACCTTTTCTAGGTGATGTTAGTTAAGGCATATATCTGTTGTCTCTTTATGACATGGACTGTTGCATAACAATAAAGTTTGCATGACTATGAAACATGTCCTCCTTATTATATCCTCTCTTTTCTTGCCACTCAAATGTAAGCAATGAACATGACCTTGACATTTTGTTGCTTTTGGTGCTCATGATCACAATTAAAGAAAAGGAATTTTGTACATTTGCCCTGAACTTATAATATTTTGACAATCTTACGCTCTGAACTTTGAACTTGTAATTTTAGCAATTTTGCCCACTAAATTTGTAGAACTGTCGCAATATTATACCAAATTTTGTCAATTTTGCTCTGATTATTTTGCCAGAAGGGATTGAGAGTCGGAGAATTGGAGAATTTATGTTACGGTTTGAAATAAAAAGTTGAAATTTTTTGTCAAACATGTTTTTTGTCACCAAATTTAATACAATCATCATCAAAATGGGCATATTGCAATCATTCTACAAATTGGGGAATGTGTCAAATACCCTTTAAAAAAAATATTGGAAATCTGAATTCTGAGTACTGCAAATCAAGGGCCCTGGGGAGGACCATGCTAATAAATTCGGTTGCTCGGACAATTATTTTTATATCACATCAAATTATAGGGGTGTTTAATTTGGTATATGTAAAACTTTGTCCACTACGTTTCTATGGTCATAAATACAATTATAAACTAAGCACTGAAAAAAGTTCTACCAATCATATTAATTTCGTATTAGAGTTACTAGTTCAATCAATTTGAGGAAGCAAAAAGAGGTGGAACACGTACTTGAGGCAGTCACTATTCATATGGTGGCTCTGGTGGGAAACAATAAGCATTAAACATTAATAGTGGTATATATACTGTTGGGGGAGGTCAATTTAGAATTTTAAACATTTTTTTTTTAAAGAAACAAATATTATCGCTAATAACCCACAAAAAAAAGTAGAGCAAATCTTGATATAATGTTAATTCTATGATCTGGCTTCCACAATATGAAACCACAAGTGATCACTTGACTAATCAAAATCATTAAGAGAAAGACCCTAGCTATCATAAAGTTGAAGCTTACATATGTTTCATGTGTATACAGATGAAAATTGAAACATATATAATATATATGTGTGTGTGTGTGTGTGTGTGTGTGTGTGTGTGTGTGTTTTCTTTTGGGAACACAAAAAAAAATGATACTATCAAGTAAAATGAGTTCTATCTTTCTTCTCAGCACAAGACCCCATATGAAAGCAGAAAACATTAAAATGCATGATCAAAGGGGGAAAAAAGACCATATGAAAACATTAAATGTATGTTGAATTAGATATTGATGACTTAAAATGCATGATCAAAGGGAGAAAAAAGACCATATGAAAACATTAAATGTATGTTGAATTAGATATTGATGACTTTCATAAATTGTTTTAGTTATCTTTCAATTTTTGGTTTGGCCATATATGGGGCTCTTTATGATTTGTTTTTTTTTTTTTTTGCTTTGTGTAGCAGTTTTATAGCAGCTTCGGGAAGTGTTTAATATTTTTCCCTTGTTTTCTTATTTTAATTAGTAACTAATATATGAATGAAGGGTCTACATGATAGATGACGAGTTTTTTTAGGGGTATTTGGTATGCAGTAATCAATAGGAATCAAATACCTGAGAAAGTTATAGTGGATAATATAATTCTCTAGAATCCTATATTATCATATTTGGTTATGCCTAGAAATCTTTTATTAGATTCCCAAAAATATTATTTTACGGCATTTGGTTGGGCATAGTAATGTAATCCTTCTTATAAAGTTAATAATTTAAAAAAATTTGAAACTAATTAAATCCTATTATCTCCATTTTATCAACTTATAAGATTAATACTATTAGTGGATTTTTTAAATATTATGAAAAAAATACAAAACTCAAAAATGCTCCCTCTCTCTCACCTCCCCCCTCTCTCTCTCTCATCCCTCTCGATCTCCCTCTTGATCTTCCAAATCCACATGGGATTGGACTTTGCCAAGCATGGGCAGACGAAGGCGATTCGAGGCTAGTCATGGGGTTGTGCGAATGGAGGCGATTCAAGGTTGGGCAGACAGAGGCGATTCGGGGCTAGGCGGACGCAAGCGATTGTCACGGGGATGGTGGGACGGTCAAGGGGCTGGGCGGACGAGGAGATCGGCGACCATTGTTGGATATGAGGATTTAACAGTGGGGTAGAGCAGTAGTGGATTGGAAGGCGGATGTAACGGTGGTGGTGGCATAGGAAAGTCCGACGACGGAAGGTGGTGGCGGCGGCGTGGTCGACGGAAAAGCAGTGGACGAGAGAGGCGGTTGGGTCTGGGAAGATATAAGTGGGAGAAGTGTGGGAAAGTAAATAACACCCATTTTTTAACTTTTCTGTGATATTAACTTTTCTACGAAAGTAAATAACACCCTCCAAGATGGGTTTAGAATTACCCCACAATGTGGTAATGTGAAACCCATAGGCTTCACTTTCATGAGTTTTAAAAAAGTCTAATAATTATACCAATCTATAGTTGAAATGTACGGTAAATTTTTTGATGATGACAATAATTCTTTCTTGCCATTTATTAAAAAGATATATAGAGAGGGGAAGGAAGAATGCTGTAAATAGTAAATTTATAAAACTAAATTAAATAAATAACATATTTTAAAATAATTTAAAGTAAATATTAGTTTACCACATAAATATTTTATTGACTAGTAAAAAGATTTTTTTTCCACATAAATCTTCTTTTTACGATTGCTAACAATATTTTTTTTCCATGTAAAGAAAAAATTTTTATCACATAAATTATTTTTTACCAGTCATAAATGACACATTTATCGTGTAAATGTGTCATTTATGTACACGATAAACTGCT